TTTTTTTCCTTTTTCTCCTTCCTGCTTTCCTTTTTTTCCTTATCACTTCCCTTTTTCCTTTCTCTCCTTCCCAACCTCTTTCTTTCTTTCCCTCCTTCCTGCTCTTCCCCTTTTTTCTTTGCTCATTCCCGCTGACACCTTTCTCTCCACATTTCCTCCTTTCCCCTTCCGTCTTCACACCTTTCTTCGTCTACTTCACCTCTGCCCGCCTTTCTCACCCCCACCTTCTGTCCGTGTGTCGCTCCTTCTCCCACCTTCAGGGCTCCCCAACGCGCTCTGGGCTAATGTGGCTGGAATTACACTTTAAAAGGAAGCGACCCGGTCCCGTTTCTGTTTCAGACTGTTAGGTAGGAAATACCTGTTTGCGAAAGGAAAACCTAACTATAATACAAATAAGGACATAATAGTTAGGAACGTCGTTAATAATTTAGAACAAGAACCAATGCGTGGATATAAAACGCCGTACTAAGTTCTCCTTTCGCAATGTAATTTTAACTTTTGTTTCACAAAATAAGAATTCCAAGACACAGCAAGGCCCACTCACGTCCATGGATTCACAATCAAATTTGTTTTCTCGCCTTCTCTGTCCCTCTCCCACTCGAGCATCTGTTCAGCAGGATCTATTCATGACACAACTGTCCTTCGATATGGATTTGTACTTTTAAAAAAAAAAATTTTGGACGCATTTTCCAGCTGATCAAAAGCAGTCAATTGTAAATGCTGCTTTGATCTACAGGCCGTCTAACACACTTGTTGAACCGGCCAAATCCAGCCGCTTGGTTTTGAGTTCAAACTGTGGTCCCAAAACCCGTTCAACGTAACTTGCAGCAGAACCTGTGTATTCATCCAACGGCCTGTGTGTGAAACCGACGTCTTTTTGTACCAGATATCACCGCATTCCGGGCCCTACTGCAAGGAGAGCGTTTGGAAAATGTGTGAATGACGGGCTTCTTTTCTTTATTATTTTGAAAGGTCTTTAAAAATACCGAGCTGGGACGGGCTGATGGTTTTCTCTCTCTCTCTCTGTTTCTCATATTCAGAACTTGTACAAATATCTACGTCTGACCCATAAACGTAGGAACGCAGAATAATTGCAGATTGAATCAAACTCTCAAAACCCAGTGACACCTCAAACACCGATTTTTTTGCCAAAGCAATTCTGCCCAGTGATTTAAAACAAAATGTATTTTTTTTAAAAAAGTACATATATATAGGCCATCCTACAAATGTATCAACAGTGAGGGAAACCCAGCACTGGCTGATTTCCGGGACTTTTATTTGGAACCTCGCTCGCTCTCAATGGAATGTGTCAATTCGGCTCCTCAAGCAACAGCAGTGGCTCAGTGTGGTCTGTCCCATCAGAGCGAATCTTTGTTGGGTTGGGAGGCGGAGGGTTTTTGTGTGTGTGTGTCTGTGTCTGTGTCTGTGTGTGTTGGGGTGGGGGGAGCTGAAACGGTCCAGGACGGTCGGATTGTACCGTTTTAACATTGCTCTGGCGGGTCTACTGCACCGTGTGCATTATTTTGCCCTAGTGTTGGAGGTTATATTTAGACGTGCGCGGTCTCTCCGGCAGCCGGCAGCTTCAGAGAAGGGGAATAGTGTTGGAGGAGCCCAGGTGATCACACTGCCTGCACCTTCAGCGTCATTCCGCCCCCGCCAAAAGAGAGAGAAAAAAAGCAGGAGAATCGCAATGGAGAGAAACAGATAAATTGCCGGGGTGGGGGGGGGGGGGAGAACAGCGGGGAGATGTGAATTAAACACACAGACGCACACTACATTCGATTCCGTTCACTTGCGATTTGTATCGGCTGCACTCATTTTATCATAAACGAATATTGTGCGCACATTGCTGTTTCTGGTGAAGATAATGATGGGGAGGGAAAATACTTCAGGCATCGTTTGGGGTTTTGTGGAAACAGTCTACTCAGACATAAACGGGGCTCTTCGCTTTTTGAGAGAATAAACGTTGCAACCTTATTTGTTAAAGTTATTCCCTTTCCAACTCCAAAGTACTTCGTGTAAGGAGCAAATATTAAATATGTACACACAGTTATCCCACAAATTGTGCTACAAACACCCATATCCACAGTTACACTGCCAATCTCGGCTAACATCGATATTGTTCTCATTGTCGTTCCACACACCCACATAAATATATTTACCATAAAAAAATTCTTTGACATAGAAAATCGACCAAATTCGCTTTGCTGAGTGACTGCCACAGTCTAATGATTGTGGCACCGTCACTGTATGTTAGACAAGGACAAACTGCACCAAAGAAGTGACAGAGAAGATTTCGCTGGTGTTTTCCAAGCGGAATCTCGGAGGCACCGACCCTCACGTGAAATGGAAGCTAATCCATGATTACATTTCCACCTTGGCGGAGTAAAGCAGGCGGCCCAGACTTACAGGCCTTGAAACTGACATTTGCAAATCTGTTACAAACAGCAGTGTTTTTAAAGAAATAAAAAGCCTTTATTATCACGCATTAAATATTCTGAGAGGAGAAATCCAGAAATACTGCCAAGTAAAATGCGCGGGCCCAGTTGCTGTTTTGTTTTTGCAACCAGGCTTTAAAATTCCTATTTTTTAAAGATAAATCCCTGGGTCAAAAGCTCTGGTTAAAACAAAACTCACCGTTAATAATAGTGAGTAGAAAGCACGAGTTACCATAGAAACAATATTTTTTGGGGGGTGAAGGTAGCTCACTGTTTTTTGCAAAACAATATGGAAAGTTGCGGTGTTAGTATATTCCCCACCCCTCAGAAAAATCCTTAATCACGGCAGAAGAAATAAATTAAACGGTACAGTCGCTTTGTGTTCCTTAACAATATGTGCACGAACTTACTGTTCGTAGTCGTGTTTGCAGTAAAGTTTCCTGTCTCGGAAATAACAGCTCCTGGTGAGAGGCTGTTGACACACGGTACACTGCAAACAATGTTCGTGCCAGGAAGCTTCATTCACTCTCATCAGGAAGCGATCTTCGATAGGTCTTTGACAACCGTCACATACTTCTTTATGTTTACAGTCAGAACCTGCAGCAGCAAACAAGCAAAAAAAAATTGAAAATAAATTATTGCTGGATGACGATGCTTTATTAAAAAATTTTTGGTCATTTTAATGTTGACGAAAATCCGTTCCCCAACTCATCCATCTATACTGTATCCCCCCCCCCCCCATTCACACACCCCCCCAACCCCTGCCTGACCCCGGTTAGGATGATTCATCTTTCTAACCCGCGTTCCCCACTTCTAACAGCAAAGATTTGTTCAGGGACAGCTCGGGAGAATGTGTCACTCCTTGAGAAAAGAGATGTGGTTGTCGGAAGCAGAAACAACTTGGAGAAAGTCCCGTATCGACCGGCAGCGACGTTTACATTATTCCTCAAACGCTGTTTCATAGAGAAATCACGTCGTGCAGAGTGTTGTTTTCACTGAGCATCCGAAATCCCGGGCTGTTTGACACATCTACAACTGGCCACTCACTTATTGAAATGTACCCAGCTCTTTCACACAGTTACCAAAGTCAGCAATGGCTTGATTCGCGAAATGCAACAAATGGCGCTTACTTTACTTTCAAATAAATGACATTGTATAAATGATATAAAGACTTGATTTACCCAGTAGCATTCCCAGGGTAGCAGGACCTGAACGTAACGGGTGATCCTCCATTTTTATGCCGTCCAGCATCTTTCGACACTCGGGTTCTCTTCTGCTGAAGCCCCTGGTCAGAGACTCGGGACCTGTAGTGAGAGCCATCCTTAGGATTAGTATTCTGAAAGCACCAAGCGGCGTCCACCAACACATTCACCACCCCTCCCCCCTGCCGACCCCACAACTCCCAACTTTAATGCTAACTTTAGCACAATCGATACAAACTATTTCCTACACACGTTCACATGCACTGGAGGAAGAGAGGGAGGGAAATGAGGTGGGAGGCAAATCGCTTTGTAACTTGGTATTGGTGAGTAATTTATCGTTGCACTTACAAGATCAGCACTTGGTTAAGTTTAAAAATAAAGGCTGCCGTGAAATAAAGACGTTACTTATTGGCACCTGAGGGAACACAGTGAAGGAGGAAGGGAATATACTCGCTAGGACCAAACTTGCAATCTCCAACCTTCTCCCGGTGATTTCTCTTTTTTTGAGGGATTGTGGAGGCGGGGGGGGGGGGGGGGGGGGGGGAGAAGAGAAAAAAATGAACCAGGAGTAAATCCCAAAGAAGCGAGATGGAGGTTTTCCCTGGGTGCTGGGGTGGGAATGTGCCATGGACCGTTCTTTGGGGCGGAGTGGGTATAGAACCAGGGAGAGAGAGGAGGAGGGGGAGAGGGTTACGGGACGGGGGTGGGGGGGTGTTGGTGGTGGAGGAGAGCCCAGCGCACGGATACATACGCCAGCACGCTTGTGATGCGCCTCCTCCCGCCTCAGCCCCCCGCCCCCCACCCCTCTACTCCTGAACGCTATCCTGGCCGCTGTAGCAATGCGCCTCCCGAGGGCCCGCTGCACTCACTTTCTCAGTCTCTCACATGCAGAGACACAGACCAGGTGCTGTTCCCACTCACCGGCAGCTGCTCCACACACACTCTCTCTCTTCAACCTAACACTTCCCAGCTTCAAGGCAAAAATAAGGAAAGCGAAAAACCTGACAGTAAAAAGCACCTTGATTTTTCTCTCCCTCAGCTTATGCCACCGCTGATTCCTATTACCCCCTCGAAACAACATTTGGAAAAAAAAGTTTCACGAGACAATATTTCAGGGTAAACCTGGCGAAATGCACATTTCTGCCCTGGAAATGTGAGCCGGCGTAAGTGACGAGTTAATGGTTTCGGAAACGCTTGTGTTTTTGTTTATGTTAAAACGACAGGGGAGGAAATCGTTAACTGTGACCAATTGCTGCCCAGAGACTACGCTATAACTGGGAAAGGTGAGAGAGCTTCCCGATATACCGAGGACAACCGAAGGCGTCTCGTTCTGACCTTTCGCTTGTGCTGTGACTGATAGCGTGGTCCCTAATAGATGGCTGTTCCTCACTTCACCGAAGATAAAGCGTGTTAAATGTTTACTGTAAAATACACGCACACGTTTAAAAGTGAACGCTGCATTCCCATAACGCATTCCCAAAAGCCAGCAAAGACTATCTCTCCTGCAGAGCATCGAGCGAGCTCGGACACTTGATGCGCGTTGAAATTTTAAACCAATCTATCTGGGCTCCTAACGACTCCCTGGTACTTTTAAAATATATCTATGTATATATAAAACAATAGCGAAGCTTCGCATTTGATCTCATATTTAATGATTAAATCAGGGATGATCGCGGACAAGAAAACGACTGTTTGAAAGCCAGGATCGCTAACGAGGTTCCTTTTTTTTAATCCCTGAGCAAAGTGCGAATTTTGCACCTGGCTATCACGCCTGATAATCTCCCCAGAAGCAGGGAGCGAGATAGACTGTGCTCAGACTACGGCCCAGCTCCAAGCTTGTATCTCTGCGCTGAAATATGCACTGATAGATTGCTCAGATATCGGCGGCTTTGCGGGAATTCATTGTCATTTGGTGTCCCTCTTTTTTCACTGCAACAAGGGACTGGAGATAATATTCAAGTAGGTCCTTCGAAGCGAGACATCCGTAAATATCCTCCTCACACCCCAGCCCCCAAACACACACACACACGTTTGATTCTTGATGCATCAGCCATCTGCACTCACATGCAGCAAGCGTGTCCTAATATCTATCACTAAAATATAGCCTGCAAAGTAGCCAGGGAGGTCTGACAAGAGTTATATGAATAAAGAACGTATCTTATATCTGGACGGTTACTTTGGGACGCTTTATTACGTTCTTTCTAACTTAACGCTTGGCGTTTTGAAGTCGTAATATCTCAATTAAAATATTTTTCGTCTTCCTTTAATAACATCTGAATTTCATCAATCGCATATGTCCCTAAGTGTGAGTGAGCCGCCCCCAGTAAGATCAGTGTCGGCGGCATGGTTATGATGTTGAAGAAACTGTCTCCCTCTTCTCTGATCAGACTCTGGATTTCTAAAACAATTATTGAAATAATTACTGGTGGCGAGTCTTCATAACTTGCGTGTAAATTGCCCCAGTAATGGCACTGGGCAGTTCCAATCATGGTCCATTTTTTTAAACAAAAAAATGACTTTAGTCTCTGGACGGCAAAGAGGAGATCAATGTGGATAAAGTGTAGGATGAGCAAGTTAAGATCGTGGAGTCTTCCTTCATTAGTGCTCAAGCGTTAAATAACAGAGGCTTAAAAAAAAGACATACACACATCACTGGGCCGCTTTCACGCTTTTAAACGCAGCTGGAAGTGGTTCCTCACGTTTTTGCTTCTAGTTTAGGGGAATTTGACCGCGCAGCGACTAATGCTACTTTTGAGTCGATCGAGCAGAAATCAACGGCAGTCAGTGGGGAATTGTGACCCTCAGCCGCTAAACCATTGGGTTTATTTAATTAAAATGTACTTACTTTCCGTTACTTGCCTATAAGCCACACATCGCGAGAAGCACACCGGAACAAGACTGATATGTCTGTGTAAACTCTTCTCGCGCACAACGGGAGATAATACCGAATGGGACCATTCGTCCGCTAATGTCAAATCGCCGCACAATCCAATGGAAACGATTACGTATCATATCTCGATATAATCCATGCACACAAAATTGTCCAAACTGCTTTAAAGTTGGGGTTGGGGGAGTGTAACGAGTCGTACTTATTAAATTCTAATTGGCATCCTGGGAAAATCGCCTGCTTATTTTAGGTTCATAAAAATCACACATTGATTTTATTAAATATTTATTATTTGAAACTTGCAATTTCATGTTAGTTGGCGGATGAAAGGAAACATTTTTAATTAAAATAAAAGGCTTTAGTAAAACAAATCATTTAAAAATAACTAGGTCAAAATATATTTTATATGTACATCATAATCTCCTAACTAATTGTTCCGATAGCTTGCCCGACTCTCCACATCCTACGCTGAATATTCCATTGCTATATCTGTTAGGAAATCAGGGAAAATTAGCACACGGGGATTTATCTCTCGGTTTCCAACAATTTCGCTTTAGGAATTTTTGATTTCTGGGTTAGAAATTATAGGATACAAACGTGGCCCGCGTTGAAAATATGTGGCCTTGTTCTCCATACGATTCAGTTTTGATGTCGTATTCATCGAATAGATTTTTAAAATTCTGGTTATTTCGAATTATCTAAAACGTTTTTTAAAGAAACAGGAACTGAAGGAAATTGACAAGCATCACAACGTAGTTTCGTCGCCAATTCGAATACAATCACATTTTATTATCACTAAAAATTCATAACATGGACTACAGTGCAAGGCAATTGCAGAGCGAGAATTTCTTTATCGTTAAGATTTCACATTTTTGAAATGCTTCTATTTACAGTCAGTCATTCCTTTAACAAATTGAAACCGAGAACCATAACTGAAGACAGGCTAATAAAACTATACCATAGCCTCTAATTTATTCTTGTAAATATTTGAATTGCAGTGTTTGATTTTAGACACTTTGTCTGCTCGCTGTCGTGATGTATTCTTAGTTACATCTGTAAATGAGTACTGCACTGTTCTTTTCTATGTTCAAACGCTTATATTTCTCATTGATTGTAATTTTCAGGGCGATAACGCACGAGCACTCAATTGAGAAATAGCGACAGTGTTAATACAAATTAACGTTTTTCACTGCAGACCATTACTGTTATTTAACATCTTAATTCATACAAATGACACAACCGAAATGTTACCAACGTGAATACTGAGGCAGTATGAACTGACTTCTATGTTTCAACTATTTTTGTTCATTTTGGGGCTCGGGCTAGAGCGAATTATTAGTCGAAATGTGGATGAAAATGGTTTACTGCAAAGTACAGGAGGCAGATTCGAATATAAGTGGGGCATTACAGTACCTTAATTCCTGAACCGCATCAGCTCTCCCGCAGGCAGGTTTGTAACTGAGCTGTACCAGCGAGGCGCAACCGGACCAGTGCGCCCCCCGCTGTCCCTGTGTCGCCAATACATCGACCTGTCCGGATAACAATAGAAATAGCAGGGTTTGTACACCAGAAACACTCAACAAGACAAAAGACAGCCTCCCTTCTGTTGCAAAGCTTCGTCTTTGTAGATCACATACCAATGGAAGGAAGGAGAGAACCTTTCGGCCAAGAACATGTTATTGGGTGTTTTGTGTGAATGTGTGAGACAGAGACGGTGGAGGGGGGTGGGGGTGTCTACACCCCCGGAAAGGAGGGATTATATACAGTACAGTCGCACCATCAATCCAGAGATTGTCGTTCGGGCAAAACATGCATATGTATTGCATGGGGAAAAAAAGAGAATTGAAGCCGACAAGGTAGAGAATGTGGCTGGGACCCTGCTGGATATTCCAGTTTGGATAGCTGAGTTTTACCAAAGTAAGAGCCAAGCTATTTGCCGTCAGTAACTGCAAAGTTTCTCTCACGTGGGCAGCTCTGAACAAGAAATAAACTGAAAACGAATTGTATCCGCGTTCAGATCCCCATGCTTTTCTACTCTGGTCAAAAAGGACTTAAAAGATAAATTACCTATATATTTCACACACAGCAATGTTTTCAATTCCATCACTTTGGCGCGGATTTGGAGGTCTGGTTACAACAGACTTTAATGTATCCTTCATATCAGTCAGTGAATGAATGAGGTACAGCTAGCTAAAATACTAGTGTAATAGTCGCAATAGCTGAGGGACTGTCACGTCTGAGGCAGAAGACAGATGTTACCTTTCATATTCCGCCGCAATCTCTCTAACGAATGGAAATGAGTATTTGAAACGCGCCAATAAAGGGAATCAATACACTAACGCTGCTTTGATAAAGTTGAAAAGTTTGCGTCCAAACCATATTATTGATTCTAACTTTTGACAATAAGATATTGTGTTGTTTATTTGCCATTACTTAAAAACAGTACCCATTTCATTGGCGGGTGCACAGGTTACAATCAGCCACCAACCACATAAAATTATTGCCAAGACTTTGCAATTGTACATTCAAATTTAGCAATCGAAAGGAATCTTATGGAAAATAAAGCGTGACAATCAAATGACCGGTATTTATTAATTTACAAGATGCATTTACTCAGCACACATATAATTTCAATGCAGTGTTTAAAATTCTGTCTCATATCCGGGATGATACAACGTAACAGCTCTTGCATTGGGGTCTAACGTTCCAAAATCGACTTAATGGAAAATGTTTGTAAAAGATCATTAAACAAGGTCCACGCAGTCTGTTGCCTCTAATCGATGGTGTTTGCATGCAAATCAAAAGGGGCAGATGGGTGAGGGAGGGGTTGATGTCGGATCTGGGGCTCTGAGGGAGGGGCTCAGAGTCGGGGCTCTGAAGGATGGGAAGAGGGCAAGACCTGGGGGGGGGGGGG